GGATCACGTTCTGGTCGGTACGCGAAGGGGGGACTTTTGAGGTTAGGCTTGAGTTTCATGATGTTCAGGCTTGGCTGTTCAATCGGAAAGTGCAAGACTTCGACTGTGTGAGCTTCTGCCGCCAAGCTATTAAAGCAACAAAACACGTCAGCAGGCTATTGAGCTTTTGCATGCACCACCCTAATTTGGGCGCAATAAACAAATCAGAAACCCCGATTGTGAAAGCCCCCAAACTGGGTTGCTCAGGCAAGACCCTTGCTTTGCCGGCCCGAATGTGATGGCAAAAACCGGGTGGCGACGCATGCGTTGAACTTGCCGAGGTCCAGCCAAGCCTGTTCCACATTGCCAAAGATGCACCTTGGCACAGCAGTTCTCGATTGTTGCTGGTCGAAGGAGACACAAGCATCCCTCGTATCAATGAATAGGTTGCTGATGCACATTCTCTTGTTTGCTTGCTGCCTTGATTATGCATGTATGTAATGTGATGCTAATGGAATGCAATTGCAATTGCAGCTGCAATTCTAATGTAATGTGATGTAAAAGTAAGTATTTATGCATTTGTGCAAAGTATGGATGTATGTAGCGTCATGGAATGCAATGCAGTGCAATGTGATGCAATGGAATGCAATGTGATGCAAATTGATGCAATGTAAGAGAATGCGATGCAATGTACTGCAATGTAACGCAATGTAACGCAATGTAACGCAATGTAATTCAATGTATCTAAGCATGTATGCATTGTTGAATGCATGCATGTATGCATGTATGCATGTATGTATGTATGTAATGTAATGCAATGTAATGCAATGTAATGCAATGTAACGCAATGTAACGCAATGTAATGCAATGTAATGCTGTAATGCAATGTAATGCAATGTAATGCAATGTAATGCCAGGTAATGCCATGTAATGCCATGTAATGCAATGTAATGCAATGTAATGCAATGTAATGCACTGTAACACAGTGTAATGCACTGTAATGCAATGTAATGCAATGTAATGCAATGTAATGCAATGTAATGCAATGTAACGTGACGCAAACGTAGTGTAATGTAGTGTAATGTAGTGTAATGTAATGTGATGTAATGTGATGTAATGGATGTAATTTATGTGTCTATGTATGTATGTATTGTAATGTATTGTATTGTATTGTATTGTAATGTAATGTAATGTAATGTAATGTATGTAATGTATGTATGTATGTATGTGATGTGATGTGATGTTATGTTACGTTGTGTTATGCTATGTCATGTTATGTAATGTTACGTTATGTTATGTAATGTTACATTATGTTATGGTATGGTTTGGTATGGTATGGTACGTATGTATGTACGTATGTATTGTATGTAATGTAATGTATTGAATGTATGTAATGTCTGTAGTTATTTAATGTACGTAATGTATGTATTGTATTGTGCTGTCTTGTCTTGTCTTGCTTTGTCTTGTATTGTATTGTGTTGTGTTGTGTTGTGAATGGTATGGTGTGGCTTGGTTTGTATGTTTGTATGTTTGTATGTTTGTAGGTTTGTATGTTTGTATGTTTGTATGTTTTTATGTATGTACGTATGTAATGTAATGTCTGTACTGTACTGTAATGTATGTATTGTGATGTATGTACGTATTGTGCGTATGTAATGTAATCAGTGTATGTATGTATGTATGTATGTATGTATGTACGTATGTATGTACGTATGTAATGTATGTATGTATTTGTATGTACTGTAATGTAATGTAATGCAAGGTAATTCAATGTAATGTAATGTAAGGCAATGCAATGAATGTGAGTATGTATGAATGTATGCGTACCATACCATACGAAACCATACCATAACATAACATAACACAATGTAACATTACATAACATAACGTAGCATTACATAGCATGACATAGCATAACACAACGTAACATAACATCACATGAAATTACATACATACATACATTAGATACATTACATTACATTACATTACATTACAATACAATACAATACAATACATACATACATACATACATATATTACAAACAAACATGCACTACATACATACATGCATACATACATACATACATAGATAGAAAGATAGATACATGCATACATACATTACATCAACTACATACATGCATGCATACATACATACATACAATACATTACATTACATCACATCACATTACATTACATTACATACATACATACCTACATGACATACATACATACATTACATTACATTACCTTACATTTCATTACATTACATTACATTACATTACATACATACACAATACATACATACATACATACATACATACATACATACATACATTACATTACATTACATTACATTACATTACATTACATTACATTACATACATAGATACATACATCACATCACATACATACATTCCATTCCATTCCATTCCATTCCATTACATTACATTACATTACATACATACTTACATTACATACATACATACATTACATTACATTTTTTTACATTACATTCCATTTCACACATACATACATTACATTACATTACATACATACATTACATTTCATTACACTACATTACATTACATTACAAGACATTACATACATACATTACATACATATATGTATGTATGTATGTACTGTATGTAATGTAATGTATTGAATGTATGTAATGTCTGTAATTAATGTATGTAATGTATGTATTGTATTGTGCTGTATTGTCTTGTCTTGTCTTGTCTTGCTTTGCCTTGCTTTGTCTTGTATTGTATTGTGTTGTGTTGTGTTTTGTTGTGTGTGTATGGTATGGTATGGCTTGGTTTGTATGTTTGTATGTTTGTATGTTTGTATGTTTGTATGTTTGTATGTTTGTAGGTTTGTAGGTTTGTAGGTTTGTAGGTTTGTAGGTTTGTAGGTTTGTAGGTTTGTATGTTTGTATGTATGTATGTACGTATGTAATGTAATGTCTGTACCGTACTGTACTGTACTGTAATGTATGTAATGTGATGTATGTATGTATTGTGTGTATGTAGTGTAATCAGTGTATGTATGTATGTATGTACGTATGTATGTACGTATGTATGTACGTATGTAATGTATGTATGTATTTGTATGTAATGTAATGCAATGTAATGCAATGTAATGCAATGTAATGTAATGTAATGTAATGCAAGGTAATTCAATGTAATGTAATGTAATGCAATGTATGTGCGTATGTATGAATGTATGTATGTAATGTATGTATGTATGTAATGTATTGTAATGTAATGTAATGTAACGACATGTAATGTAAAGTATGTATGTATGTAATGTAATGTATGTATGTGTGAAATGTAGTGTAATGTAATGAAATGTAATGTAATGTAATGTAATGTATGTATGTATGTAATGTAAGTATGTATGTATGTAATGTAATGTAATGTAATGTAATGGAAAGAAATGTATGTATGTATGTAATGTAATGTATGTATGTAATGTAATGTAATGTAATGTAATGTGTGTATGTATGTATGTATGTATTGTATGTATGTATGTAATGTAATGTAATGTGATGTAATGTAATGTCATGTAATGTAATGTAATGTAAGGTATGTATGTATGTATGTATGTATAATGTAGTGTAATGTAATGTAATGTAATGTAAGTATGCATGTATGTATATGTAATATGTATGTATGTAATGTAGTGTAATGTATTGTAATGTATTGTAATGTATTGTGATGTAATGTAGTGTATGTATGTAATGTAATGTAATGTGATGTGATGTAATGTAATGTAATGTAATGTAATGTAATGTAATGTAATGTGTGTATGTATGTAATGTATGTATGTGTGTGTAATGTAATGTAATGCAATGCAATGCAATGCAATGTAATGTAATGTAATGGAATGGAATGTAATGTAATGTGTGTATGTAGGTATGTATCTACGTATCTACGTATCCACCTATGCATCTACGTATGTATGTATGTATGCATGTATGTCATGTCATGGCTTGTCTTGTCTTGTCATGGCGTCTTATGCATGTATGCATGCATGCATGTATGTACGTATGTAATGTAATGTAATAAATGTATGAAATGTAGTGCAATGTAATGTAATGTAACGCAATGTAACGCAATGTAATGGAATGTAATGTAATGGTATGTAATGGTATGTAATGGTGTGTAATGGTATGTAATGGTATGTAATGGTATGTAATGGTATGCAATGGTATGTAATGGTATGTAATGGTATGTAATGGTATGTAATGGTATGTAATGGTATGTAATGGTATGTAATGGTATGTAATGGTATGTAATGGTATGTAATGGTATGTATGCAGGAAATGCATGTATTGCAACGTACCGTAATCAAATGTAAGGTAATGTATACATGCATGCATGTTATGTACGTAATGTATGTATGCATGTATGCATGTATGCATGTATGTATGTATGCATGTATGTATGTATGGAGTGTATGTATGTATGTATGGAGTGTACTGCAATGTAATGTGATGTAGTGTAATGTATTGTAACGGAATGGATTGTAATGTCATGTAGTATGAATGTATGCATGTGCCTGTATGTGTATGTTTTTATGTGTGCGCATATGTGTATGCATGCATGTTTGTGTGTGTATGTATGTAAGGTAATGCAATGCAATGCAATTCAATGCAATTCAGTGCAGTGTAAGTTAATGTAATGTAATGCAATATAATGTAATGTGATGTGATGTCATGTGATGTAATGTATGTAATGCATGTGATGTAATGTATATAATGTATGTAATGTATGTATGCATGAATGTATGTGTGCATGGGTATACTTCTGTATGCACACATGTTTGTTTGTGTGTTGTGTGTGTGTGTGTTTGTATTTGTGACGCTGCTGACCCAGCATGAGAAAGAGGAGAGATGTCCTGCAATGCCACGCACTATGTCAAACATTTCGCGTTGAATCAAACTAGACACGGGCCAAAAAGGAAGGGAGTCCTGATTAAGCTTTTCTCGAGTCGCTTTGCTTGTTTGCACGTTTTGCTTGGTTGACCTCTTTTTTTGCCCGTATGGTGAAAATCGCAACTGCACAGCTAGCAGGGCTAGCAGAGCGCCTATTTTGAGCCATGGCGGTTGAAGAGCACGAGTCTGAGATGCACGAAGAGGAGATCACAGCGTGCTCATTTGAGAACTGGTTCCACTTGCATCTCGGAAGAAGCATGTTTTCATATTTGATCGCCGGATGCTCCAGTGCGCCAGTGGCTGATTTGGGTTTTGTTTCGCAGCGTTGGTAGAGCAAGCTTAGGTTCAAGCGATCTACATTCAAAAGTGAGATCATCCCCTTGCCAGAGGCGTTTGTGCGATACTTGCTGGCCGACGGCATTCATGTCCCGAATGAGCGCAGTGACGCGGTCAGTGACGGTTGGGGGTCTGGTGGGGAATCGGACGACGACAACCCCGATGCGACTTATCACTTTCCGGAGCTGGAGGAGGAGGTGCGCGGTGCGATCGGCCGGCTCAACGGGAAGGTGCTGCCAAAGCTGAACTGGAGTGCCCCGAAGGATGCTCACTGGATCCACGGCTCTCTGAAGTGCACCACGCCCTCGGAAGTTTTTACATTGCTCAAGGCCTCAGACTTCATCTCTCACGACCTTTGCCACGCCTTCGACCACTGTAAGTCCGCGCGCAGGCGGCCAGAGTCCTTCAGCTTGGTGTTGCGCAGGTGGCACTCGCTGCACGAGTCCAACGAGTTCCGGGCCTTCGTCCGGGACTCGAAGCTGGTTGCCGTGAGCCAGCGGCATACATCCACGTTCTTCGAGCATCTAACGCGGCCAGATGAGAGAGAAGCAATCATGAGCGCCATTCAGCAATTCTGCACTGAAGAGGTGTTGGGCCGCTTCTCATTGCCGCGATTTGCTTTTGAAGCCTGGAGGCACTAGCCATGGTTCGCAGTTGAAAGTTGAAGCGCATGCGGTTCACAGAGTGTTTGTGTGTGTGTGCGCGCTTGTGTGTGTGTGTGTGGGTGTGCGTGTTTGTGTTGTGTTTGTGTGTGTGTGTGCGTGTTTCTGTTTGTGCCTGTGTTTGTGTGTGAGTGTGTGTTTTTTTTTGTGTGTGTATGAGTGGTTTTGTGTGAGTGTTTGTGTGTGTGTGTTTGTGTGTGTGTGTGTGTTTGTGTGTGTGTGTGTTTGTGTGTGTGTGTGTGTGTGTTTGTGCGTGTGTGTGTGTGTGTGTGTGTGAGTGTGTGTGTGTGGCAGTGTGTGTGTCTGTGTGTCTTTGTGGGTGTCTTTGTGTGTGTGTGTGTGTTTGTGTGTGTGTGTGTTCTTTTTGTGTGTGTGTGTGTGTTTTTGTGTGTGTCGTCGTCGTCGTCGTCGTCGTCGTCGTCGTCGTCGTCGTCGTCGTCGTCGTCGTCGTCGTCGTCGTCGTCGTCGTCGTCGTCGTCGTCGTCGTCGTCGTCGTCGTCGTCGTCGTCGTCGTCGTCGTCGTCGTCGTCGTCGTCGTCGTCCGTCGTCGTCGTCG